TTTTCCCCCTTTTTTGCCCCTAATTCCTAAACGGTTTGAGCCATAACCCCCCAAAGCAAATCCTAACCATCCCTTTGTGGTATGGAAACTTGTAGTATAATTTCAGAGAGATCCATACACCGTTCCACAGTTATTGTCTGGAAACTAGAAAATGCTCATTTTTGGCCCCTTTTTGGCCCCTAATTCCTTAACTGTTGGTACCATAACCCCCAAAATCAATCCCAACCTTCCTTTTGTGGTATTTAACCTTATGGTCAAATTTCAAAAAGATCCATTCACTTAAACTTAAGTTAGAGTGCGAAAACCAATATGTATTCGGACGACGACGACGCCGGACGACGACGACGACGACGACGACGACGACGCCAACGTCATACCAATATACGACCACAAAATTTTTTTGCGGTCGTATAAAAACGCCTAAACAACAAAATTATAACCAAATAAAAAATAAACCAGTGACAATTCTGCTTCTATTCGTATCAAATTCATTAAAATCAAACCAGAATTGACCCCACAATATTTTTTGAAAAACCATAGTTTTGAATGAAATGCACAGTGTACTGTATGATCCTGTAGCGTAAAATTGTAGGTAACGAATAATTATATTGCATGTGAATTTGTGTCTTGAACAAGAAAGACGTTGGCATGTCCGTTTTTATGCAATTGAAAATTTTATGATGTTTTATATTTTATTATTTATGTAAAAAGTATAAAAGATACTAAGTGGTAATCGACCACTAGTACAACATTTATAAGCCGAAGAAAAAGCCAACAGCAAAAAAAAAAAAAAAGCCATCAGATTCCGTCCACAAAACATTACACACTCAGAAACTAAGAATTGTTCACTATTACATTTATCTCAGAATGAGTAAAACCTATGTCATCCAAAACTCAGTTTTCAAGGTGCAGAAAATAAACAGGTGTCTTCTATTCCGTCCGCAATTTTTGGGGATCTAAATCTAAATTTAGAACCATGGTTGAAACTGAAACTACACATGTATGATAAAAATAGAACGTGTTATTTTTTTCTTAATCAAATTCCGATTTCGAAGGGATAGCGAAATTTGTTCTCTTTTGTTGTGCTTTTGTGTATCATTCAGCAGTAGTATAAGGTAGGGGAAGAAGGGGTAGGGGTGAAGAAAAATAGTTCTACAATGTCGGGGCTTTTTATAACCCGGTGACTATATACGGTATGGATTTTCTCATTGTTGAAGGCCGTATGATTGCCTATAACAATTGCTTCCTTTAAGGTAGCTGGGGTGTCTAAATGTTGGACGATAGATTTTTCTTAAACTTCTGTAAGACTTCTGTGTCAATGTAATTTTAAATTTCAATATAAAAACTGGGGATCACTGACCTTGTTTTTTTGTAATAACACATTGAAATTAACGAAATTTGGGTTATTTTTTATTGTTGATATAGGGGAAACTTAGGTTTTCCTTATTGCGGAAACATTAAACGATAGAATTGGCTAAAATTCGATGAGAGAATTGCTTTTCATTAATAACTCCGAAATATCAAATAAAAATAAGGGGTCACGGGCCTTATTTTCTTGAAAAAATCCCGAAAAATTTTAAATATACTTTACGACACTTAATTTCTTGATAGTTCAATCTTTAAACTTCAAGTTTTAGGTATTTTGTTGTATATTTAATGATACTTGGTAAAATATTTTTAAAACAAAAAAGTTTTTACAATTAACATGATCAGAACGGACGCTCAGAAAAAGACAACCGATCTACCTTAAACGTGGCAGATAGTTGTCTCATTTGCAATCATACCACAGCTCCTTATGTTCATATTATATTAACAAAACTGCAATTCATTTGCATTATATACAGGAACAATTTGTATGGCATTATACTAGGTAAACTCGTATAGCATCCGGCTCTTGGTACATTCTTATAGCATTACACAAGTACATTTATAGCATATCACTATGCACAAAGCTTTAGCATTACACAATGCACAATGCTATAGCATTATACACAATATACACAATGCTAAGGCTAACACTGGGAATGATCTGTGCTACGTGAAGTTAAAACTCCGATCTGTTTTACTGTTTTGTCTTTTTTAAAATTCATATGCGGGTTCTTCTTTTGACCTTATTACAGCCATAAAAATTCTCAAGATAATATGCAGATGCAGTTTTCTTATTTTTTGGGAGTCGTGCATGTGGATATTTAACAAATTATGGTACAAAAAATTATTTACTTTTTTACTTCAAATCTCCAGCAAACATTATATCATGCTTTGTCGTTTAGTTAAAGAAAAGGGAAAGCGATCTAGACAGGAAATTTTTTAAATAAAATTGCAGAGTTATGTCACGTGCATGCGTGTGAACCTGACAAAAAAATGGGCCGTTTGTGCGCAATCCCTCGAATAGCGCCGGAAATGGTGAGGATGAAAAGATGCAGCAAATTATATTCACTTTTTTAAAATACAAACATGCAGAAATAAGATTTAAAAAAAGACGTGTATACGCGATCCCAAAATTATAACCGATTATTTAAATACGTATAGAATCAGTCTGTCAACGCTGTGTTAACTGGGACAATTTTAAAATTGATATTTGATTCATAATTATTAGAACAATACAATATAAAAAAAAGAACATGTGGCATGAACGCCAAAAAGACAACTCTCCACAAGAGTCAAAATGACACAGAAATTAACAACTATAGATAACCGTACGGCCTTCAACAATGATCAACGCCCATAGTCAGCTATAAATACAAGAATTTCAAAAAAGAAGTGGAACCCTGTCTAATTAAAAAAAGATGGAGTTTAAGTCTATATAGTAACTTTCATTCACTTGCAGTATATTTATTTGCCAATTTGCTTTTTTTTTGGCAGCAGAAATATCCTTAAAAAATAGTCAGTTTATTTCCTTATTAATTGATTACGCTTGAGCATTTGCAATAATTAGGAAAATGGGTTATACACATTCACGATTTTGTTACGACACTGTACGGTATAATAGCGTTATAGAGTAGAAATTGTGATGACGTTATGTACAGTAGACATCAATAACGTCGCCGAATGTTTTATTCTTTCCGCTAAAAAATCAAACTTCCACAGGATATAGCTTGAAAACTAGCACGGTTGCTAAGGACTTTCTTTGCACCAATGGGTTCGTCGTTCATTTTTGAATCGCATATCGATTTTTAAAAAAATTCTGTTGAGCAACGAATTAGAAAATCTTGATAAAGTAAAAATGTCTGCCGATTTTTATGATTTTCCCTATATATTCTTTGTATTTTTGGCGTATCATGCTGTTAATTTCAACAGCTTGTATCTGAAAAACGAAAACGGTTACCCCCTTTTTATACGCCCGTTTACGGGACGTATTATGGTATACCGTTGTCCGTCTGTCCGTCCGTCCGTCCGTCCGTCTGTCCGTCCGTCTGTCCGTCGTCAACATGTCGGACATTAACTCAAAAATGCTTTAACCAATTTGCATAAAACTTTGGTGAATTGTTTATATCTATTGACGTGAGCTCCCTTTCGTTTTTTATAAAATTTAGATTTTACGTTTCCGAGATATGGGGTTTTATTCATTAAAAAAGGGGGGATTTTCCAGTTTTTGGACAATAATTCAAGAATACTTTCACCAACTTGCAAGAAATTGTGGTGAATTGTTTATATCTATTGACATGAGCTCCCTTTCAATTTTTATAAATTTTAGATTTTACGTTTCCGAGTTGCAGGGTTTTATTCATGAAAAAAGGGGGGATTTTCCAGTTTTCGGACAAAAACTCAAAAATGCTTTCAGCAATTCTAATGAAACTTTGGTGAATTGTTTGTATGTATTGATGTAAGCTCCCTTTAGAATTTTATAAATTTTACATTTTACATTTCTGAGTTATGGGGTTTTATTCATTAAAAAAAGGGGTTATTTTCCAGTTTTCGGACAATACCTCAAAAATTCTGTCACCAATTCTCATGAAACTTTGGTGAATTGTTTATATCTATTGATGTAAGCTCCCTTTTTATTTTCATAAATTTCTAATATGACATTGAGAATTAATTGAACTTTATTTGTTTATAGTCTGACAACAGATTTACTAAGTATTGCACAACAGCAAGAAATCTTTAATTGAATATAAATTCAATTCATATAACCAATTTCAAGATCTTTGACTACATTTATTCAGAAACCAATAATATGTTAAATATTTAATTACAATCCAAATTTGGACCTGAATCAAGCTTGAATATTGTGTCCATTTTTGTCCCAACTGTTCAGGGTTGGACCTCTGCGGGCGTATCTAGCTGCGCTCAGCGAAGCAGTTTATTTTATTTTATTGTCTGATGTATTTTTACAAGCAGAATCCCCATGTAAAATTTAAAAAAATTCTGTGGAGTAGTTAATTACGTACACTTCGCCTTAAAAGACAATGATCAACTCGTTGAATTGCTATTTTGTGTATAGAAAGTATATCACAATATTGTTTCTTTGTTATTTTTTTTATACATGTAATATTATGGACAATATTATTTAAAGGTATACTACTATGGACAATATTATTTAAAGGTATAATACTATGGACAAGATTGTTTAAAAGGTATAATACTATGGACAAGATTGTTTAAAAGGTATAATACTATGGACAAGATTACTTAAAGGTATAATACTATGGACAATATTATTTAAAATGTATAATACTATGGACAAGATTATTTAAAGGTATAATACTATGGACAATATTATTTAAAATGTATAATACTATGGACAATATTATCTGAAGGTATACTAATATGGACAAGATTATTTAAAGGTATAATACTATGGACAATATTATTTAAAAGGTATAATACTATGGACAAGATTATTTAAAGGTATAATACTATGGACAATATTATTTAAAAGGTATAATACTATGGACAAGATTATTTAAAGGTATAATACTATGGACAATATTATTTAAAAGGTATAATACTATGAACAAGATTATTTAAAGGTATAAAACTATGGACAATATTATTTAAAGGTATCAGACCAAACAGGGGCCATGTTTGGTGAATGTTGTTTTAATGTTGGTGACATCAAATGCACCATGGGAACTGGAACATTTGTAGATCTGAATACAGGAAGTACACCACACGCTTCAATAGCAGGTACTTTGTTATAATTGTAAATACTTTAAATAACAACTTCTTTAAAGGTGTAAGACTAGTTTCCATCAAATTATCAGTTATCATGGTCACAGGAGGCTGTCACAATGTTATCTAAGATTACAGTTATACAACATGAGTATTGACACAATGTTTAGACCATAATTTACAATGATGTATTTGCAGAATGAATTTTGTTGCAAAGCCATATTTAGGTGATCATTTAGTTCATCTACTTATTGTTTGCTGATATTTTAAATTTTTCAATATGTTGAATGAACTTAAATTATTTTTCAATATGTTGAATGTTCAAACTTAAATTATTTTTCAATATGTTGAATGCACTTAAATTTTTTGTCACAGTTTTCTTAACATACTACAAGGTATTTCTCAACAGTCAACTGTAAAGATGTTTATAGATGGTAAACTTAAAATGTTTCAGGCTTATATCCAATTATTGGCTGGAAGATAAAGAATGAATTAGTATATGTAGCTGAAGGTTTAATTGGTGATACTGGTACAGTCATGGAATGGTGTAAATCTCTAAGTAAGTTCACACTAAGTAATCACAGATACTGGTATCTTCATTGAATGATGTAAATCTCTTAGGAGGTTCAAACTTATTAACCACATGTATTGATATACCGGTAGTCATTGAAACTTCTATTATCTAACTTAGTAATCACATATATTGGTATAGTCATGGAATGGTGTTAACTCTCTCAGCAAGTTCAAATTAAGTTAACACATGCATATACTGGTATACCGATAGTAATGGAATGGATTAAATGTTGTTGTCTCTTTGACACATACTCCGTTTCCATTCTTTATTCTATTGTACAACAAATGGAAGTTAAAAAAATTTAACGACCTTGACTGGCTATACAGCCCTTGCACGGTCGGTTTCTATTGTATAAGCACAATGTACTTCTTTAAAAAAAGGGACAACAACTCGACCAATGAACAGAAAACTGCCCAAGGCCACCAATGGGTCTTCAACTGCCCACTTTTAGTCATGCTTCAATGACTTCAGTAGAATATCCCCACTTTAATAATGTCAGTGACTTCGGTATTCTTACTTGATTCAGATGTTGAGTTTTTAAAGAAGTGCTCACTATTGAATATAGATTATTGTTGCATATTAAAGCATCCCTGTATTTCAGTTTCAGTCAAATTATGAGGCTTCCACTCCATTGATTCAGTTCAATTCTTTTTCAAGTGTGTTTGCAAGGTTCTAAATAAGCATTGATATTTGGTAGTATTTTATATTAAAAATTCACAAAACTTATACCCTGTTCAGACTTTAAATTGTGCCCAGGTCCAACTTGGGATAGTTAAACCCAATTAATTACCCTGATTCAAACTTGATGAAAACTATCCCAACGTCTGGCTTTTCCCTCCAACAAAATTGAGGCAAATAGGTCAAAATTGTAAAAAGGCACTATTGTTTTTTTATGCCCCCGCCGTAGCGGTGGGGCATTAAGTTTTACCCTTGTCCGTCTGTATGTACGTTCGTACGAACGTACATCCCAAAATTGGTTTCCTTTCTCTAACTTGAGTTTGCCTCGACCAAATGTTATGAAACTTATACACAATGCTTATTACCACAAAACACAGATCAAGTTTGAATTTTGGTGGCGTCACTTTAACAGTTCTGATTATATCCCTTTATAAATGGAAAAATTGCAAAATTTTTATTTTCTTCTAATTTCATGATATGTTTGATAATGAAATTTTTTTGCAAAATCAAAATTTCAAAACGAATAGGTCTTCAAAGTTCAGAAGAATATGGAAACCTGAAACAGACATATTTCTTCCTTTTTCTAACCAAATTATGTGAATCCTGTATAAAGGAGTTAAGCATCTCGGTATTTAGGTACATAGCCCCATGTGAGAGCATTTTTATGCCCCCGCCATAGCAGAAGGGGCATTAAGTTTTACCCTTGTCGGTCTGTATGTACGTCCCAAAATTGGTTTCCGTTCTCTAACTTTAGTATGCCTCAACCAAATGTTATGAAACTTATACACAATGCTTATTACCACAAAACACAGATCAAGTTTGAATTTTGGTGGCGTCACTTTTACTGTTCTAGAGTTATGCCCCTTTACAAATGGAAAATTGCTGAATTTATTGTTTCCGTTCTCTAACTTTAGTTTGCCTCAACCAAATGTTATGAAACTTATACACAATGCTAATTACCACAAAACACAGATCAAGTTTGAATTTTGGTGGCGTCACTTTTACCGTTGTAGAGTTATGCCCCTTTACAAATGGAAAAATGCTGAATTTTTCGTTTCCAATCTCTTACTTAAGTTTGCCTCAACCAAATGTTATGAAACTTATACACAATGCTTATTACCACAAAGCACAGATCAAGTTTGAATTTTGGTGGCGTCACTTTAACCATTCTAGAGTTATGCCCCTTTAGAAATGGAAAAATTGCAAAATTTTTATTTTCTTCTAAATATCAAGTAATTTTATTAAAATTGGAGTTATCTTCCTTTGTCCATGATTATAGTTGAATCAACTTCAATCAATGCTTTATACAATGCAATGTTTAATTTTGACTTCCACTGATAAAACACAGATCAAGTTGAATTTGGGTAGTGTCACTTTAATCATTATTGAGTTATGCCCCTTTATAAATCGAAAGATTGCAAAATTTTTAGTTTCCATTCTGTAACTTAAGTTTGCCCCAACCAAACATTATGAAACCTATACACAATATTCATTACCACAAAACTAAGATCAAGTACAAATTTTTTGTTTCCGTTTTCTAACTTTAGTTTGCCTCAACCAAATGTTATGAAACTTACACACAATGCTTATTACTACATAATACAGATTAAGTATGAAATTTGATGGCAACACTTTTACCATTCTTGAGTTATGTCCCTTTATAAACATAAAAATTACTGAATTTTATGTTCCATTCTCTAACTTTAGTTTGTCTCAACCAAATGTTATAAAACTTATACACAACCGTTCTAGAGTTATACGTGTTTACAAATAGAAAAATTGCTGAATTTTTAGTTTCTGTTCTCTACTTTAGTTAGCCTCAACCAAATGTTATGAGACTTACACACAATGCTTATTACCACAAAACTCGGATCAAGTTCATTTTTGGGTAGCGTCACTTTACCGTTCTTCAGTTATGTCCCTTTATAACTATATGATATGCAAGCGGGGGCATCATCTGTGTCCACATGTGGACACTATCCACATTTATTTGTATTATTATTTTGTTGTTTTTTGGGGCTCTTGTGTTCTTGATTTTGCTTCACTGATTTAAACAGTGACAGAACCAAACCTATTATACTTACAAAAACCTTACAATAACTCCACTTCATGTTCACACTTAGAATATGAGTCTATTTAACCAGGTATGCCCCTAAAATAAGGGTATTAAATGTTGAATTCAAGTAAGTGAAGCAGCAACAGGTTGAGATGTTCTTACTACCTAGATTAACATGGATTAAGTCATTCGGGTCAAACCCAATTTTTTATAGGCTTAGCACAGTGTTAATGGGGTACAAGTGTCTAGGCTATGTGTTAATCCCTGAATCTCTTACCTGCATTAGTGACTTTAGAGTATATACATTTAATGGGGTACAAGTGTCTAGGCTATGTGTTAAGCCCTGAATCTCTTACCTGCATTAGTGACTTTAGAGTATATACATTTAATGGGGTACAAGTGTCTAGGCTATGTGTTAAGCCCTGAATCTCTTACCTGCATTAGTGACTTTAGAGTATATACATTTAATGGGGTACAAGTGTCTAGGCAATGTGTTAAGCCCTGAATCTCTTACCTGCATTAGTGACTTTACAGTATATACATTTAATGGGGTACAAGTGTCTAGGCTATGTGTTAATGGGGTACAAGTGTCTAGGCTATGTGTTAAGCCCTGAATCTCTTACCTGCATTAGTGACTTTACAGTATATACATTTAATGGGGTACAAGTGTCTAGGCTATGTGTTAAGCCCTGAATCTCTTACCTGCATTAGTGACTTTAGAGTATATACATTTAATGGGGTACAAGTGTCTAGGCAATGTGTTAAGCCCTGAATCTCTTACCTGCATTAGTGACTTTACAGTATATACATTTAATGGGGTACAAGTGTCTAGGCTATGTGTTAATGGGGTACAAGTGTCTAGGCTATGTGTTAAGCCCTGAATCTCTTACCTGCATTAGTGACTTTACAGTATATACATTTAATGGGGTACAAGTGTCTAGGCTATGTGTTAATGGGGTACAAGTGTCTAGGCTATGTGTTAAGCCCTGAATCTCTTACCTGCATTAGTGACTTTACAGTATATACATTTAATGGGGTACAAGTGTCTAGGCTATGTGTTAATGGGGTACAAGTGTCTAGGCTATGTGTTAAGCCCTGAATCTCTTACCTGCATTAGTGACTTTACAGTATATACATTTAATGGGGTACAAGTGTCTAGGCTATGTGTTAATGGGGTACAAGTGTCTAGGCTATGTGTTAAGCCCTGAATCTCTTACCTGCATTAGTGACTTTAGAGTATGTACATTTAATGGGGTACAAGTGTCTAGGCTATGTGTTAAGCCCTGAATCTCTTACCTGCATTAGTGACTTTACAGTATGTACATTCTTCATATGTTTTCTATTCTTGTATATACCAGTAAGCAGTGTACTTCATTAACATGAAAACGCTTTGACGAAATCTTTTCAAATTTAGATATGTTCTTTCCTGTGACTAAATGAAGGTCAAGTTCAATTTTCATTATATTTATTTTTTTAGATTTATACGAAGATGTATCAGAGACACAGAGATTAGCAGAATCAGTGCTAAGTAATAATTTATTTATTTACAGGAAGTCTGTTATAAATCACCTTAGTTTTGTAAGAAACAAGTAAAAAGTCTAGCTGTTGTATCTTATGTTAGTTTCAAACTTAAAGTTTTCCTTGAATGTTTGACACTGTGTCTAGTTTTACCTCTAGAGTGAACATGAAACATGATCTGACTTTCAAGCTTTGGAAAATAATCAGAATTGTGAAAAGATTTCAGAATCTTGCTTCTGGCAGGTAATTTTCTCAGAACAGAACAAAATAGGAAATTTTACAAAAGACCGTCATGCATTTTTCTGGCAAAGTTTTGAATGAATTTATCCAGCAGTTCAAAGGAGAAGAAAAAAAGTAAAAAAAGTGATGATCAATAAATTTCAACTGTGATAATAGCTAACACAGGCTATTACACAGAATAAAAAGAGCAAACAAAATAAAACACATGATCGAAAACTTGAGATTGACTCTTTTATAGTTTAAACTTTAGTCATCAATATGAAACAGCAATATCATTTTATTATAGATGTAGCCCAAATTAGATGCCCTTTAATATATCTTTTATTTTTATTATACAGGTAGTGATGGTGTTTACTTTGTTTCTGCATTCAGTGGTCTTCAAGTGAGTTTTTCATTACCAGAAAAAAGTGAACCAATCAAAAACCTTTACCTTTTACTAAAAATAATGAACTATGAATAAAGTCAAATGTTAACATGTGATTATTTTTGGAAAGAAAAGGTTTTCATTGCTGTTGGATTAAAAATACACAATTTCAGTGTTCTCAAAAACTGGCAATCCTGTCAGTCCTGACCAGCAAAATTTTCTGAAAATACAAGACCACCATATTTTTACTTCGACCACCTTATTTGTAAGCTTGGTGGTCCTAATGACCGACAGGATAAAAAACATTTCAAGAACTCTGCAATTTTATTGCACAACTTTCTTTCATCCAAATAGACAAGGACTGTTTTGGTATATTAAGGAGCCATGGTCAGCCATGTTGATAAGTTATTTATCATCAACATATAAATCACTTTCAGCTTTATACATTTAGTCTACAAGTAGCAGTGTATGTAGTTTTTTACCCATCAGTCCTTCAGTCTGTCTGCCTATCAGTCCTTCAGTCTGTCTGCCTATCAGTCCTTCAGCCTGTCTGCCTATCAGTCCTTCAGTCCGTCTGCCTATCAGTCCTTCAGTCTGTCTGCCTATCAGTTCTTCAGTCTGTCTGCCTATCAGTCCCTCAGTCTGTCTGCCTATCAGTCCCTCAGTCTGTCTGCCTATCAGTCCTTCAGTCTGTCTGCCTATCAGTCCTTCAGTCTGTCTGCCTATCAGTTCTTCAGTCTGTCTGCCTATCAGTCCCTCAGTCTGTCTGCCTATCAGTCCTTCAGTCTGTCTGCCTATCAGTCCCTCAGTCTGTCTGCCTATCAGTCCTTCAGTCTGTCTGCCTATCAGTCCTTCAGTCTGTTTGCCTATCAGTTCTTCAGTCTGTCTGCCTATTAGTTCTTCAGTCTGGCTGCCTATCAGTCCCTCAGTCTGGCTGCCTATCAGTCCCTCAGTCTGTCTGCCTATCAGTCCTTCAGTGTGTCTGCCTATCAGTCCCTCTGTCTGTCTGCTTATCTGTCCTTCAGTTTGTCTACCTATCAGTCCTTCAGTCTGTCTGCCTTTCAGTCCTTCAGTCTGTCGGCCTATCAGTCCCTCAGTCTGTCTGCCTATCAGTCCCTCAGTATGTCTGACTATCAGTCCTTCAGTCTGTCTGCCTATCAGTCCTTCAGTGTGTCTGCCTATAAGTCCTTCAGCCTGTTTGCCTATCAGTCCCTCAGTCTGTCTGCTTATCTGTCCTTCAGTCTGTCTGCCTATCAGTCCTTCAGTCAGTCTGCCTTTCAGTCCTTCAGTGTGTCTGCCTATCAGTCCCTCAGTCTGTCTGCCTATCAGTCCTTCAGTCTGTCTGCCTATCAGTCATTCAGTCTGTCTGCCTATCAGTCCCTCAGTCTGTCTGCCTATCAGTCCTTCAGTCTGTCTGCCTATCAGTCCTTCAGTCTGTCTGCCTTTCATTACTAATGAAAATAGATTGAAATAAGAGCAGAAAAGAGGTTTGAGGCTATTTTCATTAATTATGACCTTGACCTTATATGTAGTGACCTAAAATCAATAGGAATCTTCCTGTCAATATATGTGACAGAAGATTAAAGTAATTCACAATCTGATATAAAGTATTTGAAAGGATAATTACTCTAGAACCTTAAATGCATTCAAAACAAACTTAAATACATGTATATATGTCGATATACAGAAGTCAGGAGCCTCTAGCCTTTGTCAGTCTTGTATTATTTTTAATTTTAGTTTCTTGTGTACAATTTGGAGTTTAGTATGGCGTTCATTATCACTGAACTAGTATATATATTTGTTTAGGGGCCAGCTGAAGGACGCCTCCGGGTGCGGGAATTTCTCGCTGCATTGAAGACCTGTTGGTGACCTTCTGCTGTTGTCTGTTCTATGGTCGGGTTGTTGTCTCTTTGACACATTCCCCATTTCCATTCTCAATTTTATGGTAAAACATTATGAGAAGAGAATCTGTAGTAATTTTTAAATCATTACTGCAAGGTTAAAGTCATAGTTACAGTACTAAAAATAGACTGAACTAGGTTCAGAAAAGGGGTTTCCAGATGATAAACCCAGAATTTTACATGGGATTGAAATCAAACTTTACAATAAATTGCATAAATGGTCACATATAATGATAGTAAAATTCCTATTGATTCTGAGGTCATCGTGCCAATGTTATACTTACTAAGAATAATACTAGATAATTGCAGACCAGGGTTTACCCAGCAATAATTAAATGACCATACATGGGATTGGAGCCAAACTTGAGAGTGAGCCTATCGATTTTTTACTCAATATATGACATAGGGTTCTCTGAGCTTGCTCGCTAAGGTTCTTTAATGTAATGTTAAGTATTCAAGAAATAACCTAACATGAGCTATATACTGATTAAGATTTTTTTTAAATCTTTACATTCTAGCTGCAGGTTCAGAAATACCGTATAAAGGTTTCAAGTTCCTATTACTAGTGATAATGTTTGGCTTCTTCAGTGAAAAATTAAAAAAAAAATTCAATAAGAAAAATTTTGTGATAAGAGAAGTTTCCAGTAGCTGTAGTGCAGGATTCTTAATTGAAGTCTGTTAAATAAAGGTTTGTAAGAGATGTATTGTGATCCAATTGATATATTTAGACTGCTATTTTTTAGCTCACCTGGCCCGAAGGGCCAAGCGAGCTTTTCTCATCACTTGGCGTCCGTCGTCGTTAGTTTTTTGCAAAAATCTTCTCCTCTGAAACCACTGGGTCAAATTTAACCAAACTTGGCCACAATAATCATTAGGGTATCTAGTTTAAAAAATGTGTCCGATGACCCCGCCAACCTACCAAGATGTCCGCCATGGCTAAAAATAGAACATAGGGGTAAAATGTAGATTTTGGCTTATATCTCTGAAACCAAAGCATTTAGAGCAAATCTGACAAGGGTGAAACTGATTATCAGGTCAAGATCTATCTGCCCTGAAATTTTCAGACAAATCTGACAACCTGTTATTGGGTTGCTGCCCCTGAATTGGTAATTTTAAGGAAATTTTGCAGTTTTTGGTTATTATCTTGAATATTATTATAGATAGAGATAAACTGTAAACAGCAATAACGTTCAGCAAAGTAAGATCTACAAATAAGTCGTCATGACCAAAATTGTCAGTCGACACCTTTAGGAGTTATTGCCCTTTATAGTCAATAATATAACAATTTACAATCGTAAATTTTTGTTATCTTTTACAAAAATCTTTTTCTCTGAAACTACTGAGACAAATTTAACCATACTTGGCCATAATCATTATTAGGGTATCTTGTTTAAAAAATTTGTCCGATGACCCCGCCTTCCAACCATCATGGCCGACTTGGTTAAAAATAGAACATAGGGGTAAAATGCAGCTTTTGGTTTATATCTCTGAAACTAAAGCATTTAGAGCAAATCTTACAGGTGACAAAAATGTTCATCAGATTGAGATTTATCTGTCTTGAAATTTTCAGATGAATCTGACAACACGTTGTTGGGTTGCTGCCCTGAGTTAGTAATTTTATAGAAATTTTGCAGTTTTTTGTTATTATCTTAGATATCATTATAATATCTAATATCGAATACTATTAATTATGATTTTAACCTTATTTTACATGATTTCCAAAGCATCAGTAAATACAGGTGAGCGACACAGGCTCTTGAGAGCCTCTAGTTTGTGTGTGGTTTCTTTTATTGTATAATGATTTCAAATCACTTTATAATTCCTATGTTTTGTCAATTATATTAACCATCATTGTTTGTCATTGTATGATATCAGCTTTTATGTCAAGTTTCATAGATGTTCTTAGTTTTTTTTTTTTTTTTTTTTTTTTATAACTTTGGAAAAGGTGACAATTGTTATTGAGGTCTTATATAAAAAAAAAAAGCCATATGTGCTCATCTCCTGAATGAAGGGTTTGATATTTGGTTCAGATCATCTATTTTAGTCAGATACTGCAGATTCATTTATTTTTGTGGATACCAATTTTCGTGGATTGAGGAAACTTTCATTTTTGTGGATATTTGATATCCTGGTTTTAACAAAGACTGCATGCAATCCTTAAGAAAATTTTTTATTTGTTGAACGTTTAAATTCATGGTTCACCTGTTCCCATGAAACCCACAATAATTGGTATTCCATGTATAATAATGAATCCACAGTATGGCATTGTTCTTTCTTGATAGTCAAATTTTCAAATGTTTAAAAATCTTGCAGTTAAAATAGTTGAATTGTGAGTGAAAAAATGGCAAGAAGAACAGAGTAAGAATATTTATACTTTATATTGTAGGCTCCAATAAATGATGATAAAGCATCAACATTGCTGATAGGAATGAAACCATCAACAACAAAAGCTCATATAGTGCGAGCAGTTCTAGAGTCATTAGCTTTTAGGTTTAAAATTTTGTATGAAACAATACTCACAGAAACCAGAATATCATTATCTTATATTAGGTAAGTATAAAAAGTAACAATTCTTCAGTAAAGAATTGGTGTTCTAAATTTTTATTTTTTACTGATGGTTCCATTTCTATGTCATATCAGAAGATTTTACAGTCCTGTATCAAAATAATGAACTGATGCAGTGATTGACTAAAGGGTATTCAGGCATGTGATATTAAAAACTTAAGAAATACTTCTTTGTTAAAATTATTCTTTTAACTGTTATTTCCAATGTATACAATAGATATAGGAAGATGTGGTATGAGTGCCAATGAGACAACTCTCCATCCAAGTTACAATTTATAAAAGTAAACCATTATAGGTCAAGGTACTGCCTTCAACACGGAGCATTGGCTCACACCGAACAGCAAGCTATAAAGGGCCCAAAAAATTACTAGTGTAAAACCATTCAAAGTTCATCTGCAAGGTAAATGAGTAAAATTCCAATTTATTTATGTTAATAAATATGATGCCAAACATCTGCAGAATACTTCAATATACACATGCACATTTATACTTCAATATACACATGCACATTTAATAAACACATGCACATTTATTTCTTTATTCAGAGCTGATGGAGGTGTTTGTAATAATGACTTTCTGATGCAGCTTATGTCTGATCTAACCCACCAACCTATAGACCGTGCCAAACAGAGAGGTGACATGACAAGTCTTGGAACAGCGTTCCTAGCAGGCTTAGCCACAGGTAAGACCAATAACCCTAAAGACATTATCCAATATAAAGACAGGTGACATAGCAAATCACAGAGCTTATTCCTGGCAGGGTGTTTTAGGAAAAATGCATTACACAGTAATGTGAAATGTCATCTTGGTACAGAATTCCTAGCTTGTTTAGCTAATGGTAAAATATAACACCCAAATACCAGTTGACTCTTGTTATCTCAAAGTCAGCCGGACCAGAGAAATATTTCGAGATACCTGTAGTTCGACTCAAATGAAAACCGGAAGTTTGACAAACCAAGGGACACAACTCTTGCTTAGCTTGGTAAGGCTAAAATAAATCCGGATGAATATGGGTAGGGGATCGATATTCTGGTCCCAGATCGATGTATTTGTATGTTATGGTCTTTTATTATTATAATAACATTTTATGTTTTTGTCTCTTATTTATTTCTTTGTACAGTTATAATTTTAGCTGAGAGAGTAATTTCCAATCGATCTTAGCGTTATTTAAAGTTGACAAAATTGTTCCTTCTCATATACAATTTTGGAAAATTTAGATTTCTTTTCATTTTCTTATATTTCAATCTTTTTCACCGATTGAGTAGTTTTGAGTTGATCACCAATGGAAGTCTCAATTCCTACTTTATACACAACCAAGCTCATCAGTGTATGATTACGGCTAACTGTTTTTAAAGCACTTAGTTAATTTTTCATAAACTATAACAGTCTATCACTAATTATTTATCATGGTGATCAAAGATAATCTTAGGTAAACACTCGTGGAAAAAGAATGTCATAAAACAATACAGTGGTCATTGACGGGAAATTTAATTACAAGCATATTGTTAGATTAACACTTGAATCCATTTAAATCCCCAAGGTCATGTTTTGACATTTGTGTATTTGTTAGAGATAAATAATGAATTTTGAATGCTTTTGTTAACATCGGGACCATAAATTTAGTTGGAGTCAACCGAAATTTTGACTCATCCATTTTCGACTCATCAGGAGTCAAAATACATATATTTATACGGAACAAAGTTCTGGATCACGAGAAAACTTTGATTCATCCGCAATTATAGGCCACTGCACAGCCTTCAACAATGAGAAAGACCCATACTGTATAGTCGGCTATAAAAGGCCCTGATATGAAAAATGTGAAACAAGAAAAACAAGAAAAACTAACTAAGAACAGTTAAAGCAATAAAAGATAAAGGCATTTTTTAACACATTATCAGTTTGGTTCTGCTAAACTCAAATATGGTTAAAGTATTCATAGTCAAGACAATTTCCTCTTTTCAGTTTGTAATATGGAGATAACTTTATTCAAAATTATAACAAATTATAACAATATTTTGTTTTACATGCATTAAGAATTATTGTCAAATTAGAATTGAAAAAGCAATAAGACTCCCAAGTAAAAAAAAAGGACTTGAAATAAGGAAATAATAACATTAAGTGGAAACTGTGTCTGTGTCAGTCAGTTTGTCTGTCCTTCCTTATGTTAACCTTTTAATAATTTGTGGTAACCATAACCACATCATTTGAACTTTGGAAAGACTATTACAACACTTGATACATACAATGTTTGCAGTTGTAGGATTATTCCCTTTGATTATACTAAAAATAGCCAACTTTATGATTCCTTTAATTAAAATTTGAAAATTTTGATAGAACATATTATTCACAGGTTAAGTTAGCCAAAATGTAGACACAGGATTAGATGTTACGAAACAAAATAGGAAAATTTGCTTTGCATTCCTATTATAAAATTGTATTATCTAAGTTATCTCCATTATATAGGTGAGTTTAAAAAAAATAGATACAAACAATATTCTGTTTTTTGTTAAAACAGTAGTAATAATAATATAAAACAAATAATTCTTAGCGCCCAAACAAAAAGTCTTACTTTATTTTGCATTTTGTTGTACATAATTTTTTTATTGCATATTTCATTAAAGTACAAGACCAATTGTTTTCTGCTATTTTACAACATGGCTGAAGACTCCCAATCTGCCTTATATTTAACTTTGTTATCTTTTGCATTGGTTATTCCTGAGATATGGCCATTGATGATGTGGAAAATTCATATTTGAGGTTTCTGTTGAATATTTAGTATTGATTAGCAAAATCTTTTTGAAGAAGCTTGTTGACTCATATTTTTTATCACTTTTTTTAAAATAGCATGATATAAACTAGATTTTGGCAAAGTAATTTAGACCTTCATATACGTATAGTCTAGCAAATTTAAATGAAGATAATTCTATTCTTTTCAATAACTTAATGAAATTTAATAAAACATCAACAAAATATTGGAAACTTTTGTACAATGTTACTGACCACTAAGTATAGGTTGAAGTATGTTGTATATGCCATATCATCATTTTCTTATTTGAAAATTGGCTTATTTTTTTTGTTTCCTTCATCGATCGAAGCAGTTGCTTTGTGTTCTACAAATTTACTAATTTTTTATACGACCGCAAAAAAATTTTTGTGGTCGTATATTGGTATGACGTTGGCGTCGTCGTCCGGCGTCGTCCGTAGAAAATTTGGTTTTCGCACTCTAACTTTAGTTTAAGTGAATGGATCTCTATGAAATTTCACCACAAGGTACAATACCACAAAAGGAAGGTTGGGATAGATTTTGGGGGTTATGGTACCAACAGTAAAGGAATTAAGGGCCAAAAAGGGGCCAAAAATAAGCATTTTTGTAACTTCCAGACATAACTTGTGTGTTAGTGTATGGATCTCTCTGACATTGTACCACAAGGTTCCATATCACAAAGGGAACGCTGGGATTGATTTTGGGGGTAATTGCCTCAAAATTTTAGGAATTAGGGGCCAAAAAAGGGGCAAAAAACAAGCATTTTTCTAGTTTCATGACAAAAACTTGTGTGTAAGTGTATGGATCTTTCTGAAATTGTACTACAAGGTTCCATATCACAAAGGGAAAGCTGGAATTGAGTTTGGGGGTAATTGCTGAAACATTTAGGAATTGGGGGCCAAAAAGGGGCCAAAAATAAGTATTTTTCTAGTTTCCAGACAATAACTTGTGTTCAAGTGTATGGATCTCTCTGAAATTGTACTGCAAGGTACCATACCACAAAGGCAAGGCTGGGATAGATGATGGGGGTAATTGCCTCAATATTTTAAGAATTAGGGGCCAAAAAGGGGCAAAAAACAAGCATTTTTCTAGTTTCAGGACAATAACTTGTGTGTAAGTGTATGGATCTTTCTGAAATTGTACTACAAGGTTCCATATCACTAAGGGAAAGCTGGGTTTAAGTTTGGGGGTAATTGCCCTAAACGTTTAGGAATTTGGGGCCAAAAAGGGGCCAAAAAACACATTTTTCTAGTTTCCAGACAATAACTTGTGTTCAAGTGTATGGATCTCTCTGAAATTGTACTGCAAATTACCATACCACAAAGGGAAGGCTGGGATTGAGTTTGGGTGTGATGAATCATAAGGGGGTTCAAAAAATTGGGGGGGGGGGGGGGGGGGGATTTTTTTTTTTCCTTTTTTTTTTCTTTTAAAATTTTCCATTTTAAGTTGGTTATTTCTGATTTATATTTAAAAGCAAATAATAATGATATGGTAGGAGATACACACCAAACAGGATGTGTAAATTATTATATAATAAGTATTGTGCAATAGCAAGAAATTTTCAATTGCACAGTATTGCACAATAGCAAGAAATCTTCAATTGCACAGTATTGCGCAATAGCAAGAAATCTTCAATTGCACAGTATTGCGCAATAGTAAGAAATATCCAATAGCACAATATTGGGCAATAGCAAGAAATTGTCAATTGTACAGTATTGCGCAATAGCAAGAAATATTTAATTGCACAGTATTGTGCAAAAGAAGATACTTCGTAAAAATTGCTTATTTCTTGACCAATTTCAGTGGGGTTTTATTCTTGAATACTTGGGGTTCTTTAATATGCTGAATCTAACCGTGTATTTAGTTTTTTGATTTTGGGCCCCGTTTTTAAATTGGTCCACATTGAGGTCCAAAGGGTCCAAAATTAAACTTTGTTTGATTTTATCAAAAATTGAATTATTGGGGTTCTTTGATATGCCGAATCTAACCGTGTATTTAGATTCTTAATTTTTGGTTCCGTTTTCAAATTGGTCTACATTAAGGTCCAAAGGGTCCAAAATTAAACTTAGTTTGATTTTAACAAAAATTGAATTCTTAGGGTTCTTTGATATGCTGAATCTAAACATGTATTTAGATTTTTGATTATGGGCCTAGTTTTCAAGTTGGTCCAAATCGGGGTCCAAAATTAAACTTTGTTTGATTTCAACAAAAATTGAATATACGGGGTTCTTTGATATGCTGAATCTAACCATGTATTTAGATTTTTGATTTTTGGGCCCCGTTATCAACTTTGTTCACATTGAGGTCGAAAGGGTCCAAAATTAAACTTCGTTTGATTTCATCAAAAATTGAATTCTTGGGGTTCTTTGATATGCTGAATCTAACCATGTATTTAGATTTTGGATATTGGACCATAATAGGTGAATGTCCAATTTAAAATTTTTAAGTTCTTAGACCACATTCATTCTGTGTCAGAAACCTATGCTGTGTCAAATATTTAATCACAATCCAAATGCAAAGCTGTATCAAGCTTGAATGTTGTGTCCATACTTGCCCCAACTGTTCAGGGTTTGACCTCTGCGGTCGTATCAAGCTGCGCCCTGCGGAGCATTTTATTATGTATTGCTTGTAAAATTTACTGGAGGAAATAATTACCTAACTCTATATCTGTATCTTAAGATTTCTTTTTTTCAGGTGTATGGAAAAGTAAAGATGAATTATATGATATTAGACAGTCTGAGAGAATATTCGAACCTAATGAAGAGACATGGCTAAAATATAAACATACATTTAGTCAGTGGGAGCGTGCAGTACACAGGAGTAGAGAATGGTACACAGAATCATAATTATGACTGTGTGTCAATTTTGTTAAGTTCAAGTGGTCCAAAGGGGCAATTTGAGCTTTAGCAGTAACTTGGAGTCAACCGTCTGGTGTCCATCATATTTCAAAAAAGATCTTCTCTGCCTTTTTGAACCAAATTTGGGTGGAGTGTATTTTTGAAATTATGTCTGATGACCCTGTCATCAAACCAACATTATGGCGATTAAAAAGGGGCATAGAGGTACAAATTGATTGACGGTTTCTTAATGTCCATTGACTCCAATGGCAAATTTTTCATGCATGTTCAAGACATGCATAGGGGTTAAAAACATCAATTAAATTAAAAAAATTTACTTATGGATCAATTGCTATCATATATTGAAAAATGACACATTTGTGATCCCTTTTAAAAACTGCTACTAAAATTTAAAAATTGTTATTGTTAAATATAAAACATTATGTGAAAGACCTTTTGCTCCAAAATGCAGTTATATAATACATTAATGATCCCCTTTAAAATCAAACATGGCAGCCACCATTAGTAAAAGTATAAAATCTTTACAGAATAAAATCTGAAAAATATAATGTAAATGCAAACTTTGTGGAAATTTTACATTTGTTATCTTCTTTTAGAATATGGTTATCTAACATTTATTATCTTATTTAAGAAATTGGTTGATAACCCAATATGCTTTCACAGCCTCCTCCATTACTAAAAGTAGAATATTTTACCAAAATAAAAGTAATAAAAAAGTCTAAAAATAATGTGAAGGACCAAACTTTGGTTGAATGGTAGATTTAAGATCCCTCTCCAGTCTCAACTTCAAACAGTAACTTCCACAGTGACTAAAAATTTTAAACTTGACAAAAAATAAAACAAAAAATTATGAAAAAATCATTTGATGTACCACTTGAAAATTTAAGTCTGCTGAAAAAATGTGGATCCATAATTCTAATTTCTGATTTATTTTATAATGGGCTGAAATTTTGCCATGAAATTCTAGTATAGGACTGGTTAATTACATCTGAGGTGACTTAACAGGTTAACTGTGTTTAAGAGTGGCCATTATAAAATGGGCATAGCTCTAGGTGAGCCATACAGGTTCTTGAATTAATTGTTACCTGCTAACTAAATTATGCTATTATAATGGTTAACATGTTGAAGGCATAATTCTACAAAGTATGGAAATTTGAATAGTTAGCTAACATGATTTTATAGCTTATTGACATGTCTTTACAGATTGATATATATTTAACACCAGAAGTAATCTGTATGACAACTAGCTACTTAATACAAAGTTGCATATGCATTATAACTTTCAGGGAATTCACACAATATTGGCATTATGACTCTTGTATTTGATTTTTGTTGAAAAAGAATTTTCAAATAAAACAATGGCTTGTGCATTTGTACATACTGGGTTAAACATATACAACTTCTCCATAACCAGTAAACGGATTTCAATAAAACAATTAGTGATGCTTTAAAACCTTATCAAATTATGCACTTTCTAATTCATATTTAATTTGAATGATATTTTTCAGGTTTATCTCTTAACAAAACATGTGTCTTGTAATTTTTTTTATCTACAAAACCTCTTTAACAAGTACACTGAAATTGTGAGTGGTATTTAGAATATTATGTCATTGTACATGTATTATTTGTGGACATTGTTTTGCCTTTTATCAATATGTGATTTCTTTTAATTTTAAAAGAAGGTATTTGTTTGTTTTTTTTATTTTGTTTTGGATTTAACATAGAATAAAATGCTCCGCTGGGGCGCAGCTTGATACGACCGCAGAGGTCGAACCCTGAACAGTTGGGGCAAGTATGGACACAACATTCAAGCTTGATACAGCACTGAATTTGGATTGTAATTAAATATTTGACACAGCATAGGTTTCTGACACAGAATGAAAGTGGTCTAAGAACTTAAAAATTTTCAATTTACCTATTCATACATGTGATGGACTGTGAAACTCAGATCAGGAGATTGGGAAATTTTGGTCAGGAGATTAGGACTCAGATCAGGAGGTTTTTAATCAACATTAATTTTGTTGTAAATGTAACCGTGTGCTGTAAAAATGGTCTTTTAAAGTGTGTTTTTCTTCAACTTTCCAACCAATTTATTATGTTTATAGTACCCTTGTACTTATAAAGTTTCTCCATCTTTATATTCTACATGTTCAATCTAACATTGTTTTTTTCCAGTATGTTCTTTAAATTTTTTACTTCATATTCTATAAAACAATCATTGCAACCAGAACATTTGTTTAGCTGTCTGCAAATAGTTTTTATTTTATTTTTTTTTCTCTTTCAAATAGTTTTTATTTGCAAACTCAGAAATTCATTCAATCTGTAAAGTTAGGGTCATAGTTATTATATAAATTTCAATTTAAGCCTTAAAAGGAAGTATAGAATCCTCAAATAATTTTCAAATTATTATTTTTTTATTTGTCCTAAGACATTTAAAATCATTTAATAACCATCCTTTTATGATTATTTGTTCAATTTATATTCTTTTAAAAATTTTCATTATTAAAAGGAAAGTAACTTAAAACAGGATAAATCAAGGGAAGTAACCCAATAAATACACAGTTTTTGTTACACAACGGCAGTTAGCCTGAGGTAAAAATCGTTGCTTACCAGTATGTTTGACACCCAAGCTGACAAGTGAAGCCATATAATTATGCATGTTAATTGATTTACAGGTAAAATATAACTTCAGGTAATGTCAGTTACACCAGATGCCTGAGATGTTATGTTGGGCAGAAATTTTTCATTCATACACGGGATTTTTTCAACAGGAGGGGGGGAGGAGACCCCTGAAAACGGGATTATTGTACTCCCGTCGGGAGGTTCACATGTATGCCTATTCAAACCATATCATTATTATTTGCTTTTATATATAAATCAGAAATAACCAATTTAAAATGGAAAATGTTAAAGAAAAAAAAGGAAAAAAAAAATCCCCCCCCCCAATTTTTTGAACCCCCTTATGATTCATCGCCCCCAAACTCAATCCCAGCTTTCCCTTTGTGGTATGGTACCTTGCAGTACAATTTCAGAGAGATTCATACACTTGAACACAAGTTATTGTCTGGAAACTAGAAAAATGCTTGTTTTTTGGCCCCTTTTTGGCCCCAAATTCCTAAACGTTTAGGGCAATTACCCCCAAACTCAATTCCAGCTTTCCCTTTGTGATATGGAACCTTGCAGTACAATTTCATAAAGATCCATACACTTACACACAAGTTATTGTCCTGAAACTAGAAAAATGCATGTTTTTTTTTCCCTTTTATGGCCCCTTATTACTAAAATTTTGAGGGAAAACCCCCAAAATCAATCCCAGCCTTCCCTTTGTGATATGGAACCTTGTAGTACAATTTCATAAAGATCCATACACTTACAAACAAGTTATTGTCATGAAACTAGAAAAATGCTTGTTTTTTGCCCCTTTTTGGCCCCTAATTCCTAATATTTGGAGGAAATTACCCCAAAAATCAATCCCAGTATTCCCTTTGTGATATGGAACCTTTTAGTACAATTTCATAAAGATCCATACACTTACAAACAAGTTATTGTCATGAAACTAGAAAAATGCTTGTTTTTTGCCCCTTTTTGGCCCCTAATTCCTAAAATTTGGAGACAATCACCCCCAAAATCAATCCCAGCATTCCCTTTGTGATATGGAACCTTGTGGTACAATGTCAGAGAGATCCATACACTTACACACAAGTTATGTCTGGAAGTTACAAAAATGCTTATTTTTGGCCCCTTTTGGCCCCTAATTCCTTAACTGTTAGTACCATAACCCCCAAAATCAATCCCCACCTTCCTTTTGTGGTATTGAACCTTATGGTAAAATTTCAATGAGATCCATTCACTTAAACTAAAGTTAGAGTGCGAAAACTAATGTGTATTCGGACGACGACGACGACGACGACGCCAACGTCATACCAATATACGACCACAAAAATTTTTTTGCGGTCGTATAAAAACTAGATAAATTTAAACATGCTGGGGTGATTAATCCTTCCCAACAACCAAACCTTTTCTATTGGATAGATTTCATTGACATTTGCCAGGATCAACTTTTAAACCCTAATATTGATAGTGGTCTACTCCTGGCATTATTCTCTCCATTCAAGTGTGGGGGGAATAATGTGAAAAAAATGGAATGTTAATTTATATATGACAGCAAAAAATTTTTGCGGTCGTATATTGGTATGAAGTTGGCATCGTCATCCGAAGACACATTGGTTTTCGCACAATAACTTTAGTTTAAGTGGATGGATCTCTCTGAAATTTTACCATAAGGTTCAATACCACAAAAGGAAGATTGGGATTGGTTTTGGGGGTTATTGTACCAACAGTTAAGGAATTAGGGGCCAAAAATAAGCATTTTTGTAACTTCCAGACAATAACTTGTGTTTAAGTGTATGGATCTCTCTGAAATTATACCACAAAGGAATGGTTAGGATTGGCTTTGGGGGGTTATGGCTCAAACCGTTTTGGAATTAGGGACAAAAAAGGGGAAAAAACAAGGTTTTCCTGGTTAATGGACAATTTAAAAGCAGTGTAAGGGAGGTAATCCAAAAACAAAACTGTACACTGTTGGATTACCTCCCTTACACTGCTTTTAAATTATCTATTAAAGACTTTTATGATGTATTTAAATTGGTAATTATGGTTGTAAACCATTGGAAATTTGAATTGAGATTATGACCATATCTTGATGGAAAAATTTTTTTTTACGGAAAAGGGGGTGGGGAGGGGGGTAAAAAAGAAATTGTGGGGGGGCAATTTTTTTTTTCATTTCAGATTTCAGAAATTATAAAGAAAATTTCTTCAAATTTTTTTTTTTTGGGGGGGGGGGGAGGGGAGGGGGGTCAATTCACAACAGCATAGTGTATTGCACAAAAGCAAAAAATTGAATATAAATTCAAATCATATAACCAATTCTAAGTTCTTTGACTACAGTTATTCGGTGTCAGAAATCTATTATGTGTCAAATATTTAATTACAATCCAAATTCAGACCTGTATCAAGCGCGAATATCGTGTCCATTTTCGCCCCAACTGTTCGGTGTTGGACCTCTGCGGTCGTATCCAGCTGCGCTCAGCGAAGCATTTTATTAAAACATGTGAAGGAGAACATTCATAGAATAATTAATCCAAGAATTTAAATGTTAAAAAGATCCATCGGATGACAGAACAACACATTCTGCTGGTCTTGCTTTTGAATATGATAGCTCATGAAAACATTGTCATCCCTTTCAAAAATCAATTAAAAGAATAACTACTGTGAGCTTACCACCATTGTCCTTTGTCATTAATACCAAATGCTAGCAGAAGGGCAGCAAATACTCTTTCTTATGAAATTAGATGTAAAGCCGTTTTTAATTATGTTACATTTGCTGTGAATTTACAGCTGACATCACAACTAAGAGTTTCACTTTAAGTGACACTCTGTATTAACATTACTTTTATGCTTCTTTTCATTTATCATAAAAAAAAACATGTATATTTTCAAATAAAATATATTTTTTAATGTATTTATTGATATAAAAATAGTGTTATTTTTCTTTAGTTTTTTTTATTGCAACTTTAAATTAGATGTGTTCAGATGACATGACATGGATGTCCCTTTGAAGTTTCTGCCGAATGACAGAAGGAGTCCATAATTTGGTGAAAAATGGTTCATTTGGAATGAAATATGAACTTCATCTGTATTCAGTTTACACTATACACTGATGAACCAAAAATCAGTTCAAAATCATCAGAAATAAGCAAAAAAAACCTGGACAAGTATGATTTTCGTGAAAAAGGCTTTAATTCCATGAAAGGTAGGTAACTGGAAGTGGAGCACAAACTGGATCTGTAGCTGATTATTTTATTCTGGGTAAATGCAGATTGGTGTTTCCTCCAGATTTATGTTTTATCTGATGATAATACATCTATAGCAGCAGTTATTGAAAACATCTTATTACATTGTTTTCAATGAATTACATCGATTTCCCAGTGAAATAAAAACCGATAATATCACATGTGAAATAAATGTGGTTATTTCACTCCTCTGACGTCATACAACAAAAGGCGTTGTCAAGACGTCGATAACGTCGGATCAAAACAAATTGTGAATGCGTAGAAAAAGATATAGTTCCTTACATTTTCTACTTTAATTTCAGAAAAAAGTCATTTGCCAATGTAATAAAAAGAATAACTAATCAAAGAATTCAAATATCGAAAAATATTCAACTCGTGACTGAACAACACTGATAATTAACTCATGCGCTACGCGCATTCGTGAATTAATGTGTTGTTCGGTCACTCGTTGAATATTTTTCTCTATTTGAATTCTTCGATTAGTTATTCTATAAATAATGTTTTGACCAAGCAAATTCAATAACTTTGAAAGAACTATGATTTTGGATAAGAAAACACTAATTAGGATGATAAACAGATTATCAGTCTTCTCAGACTACAGATGTTGTGAAATATAAGCTGCTTAACTTCATATAAACCTTTTGTGATCATTCTCTTCACTCACTCACTTATACATTTTCATATTGTATTGGTGATATTGTACAATATCGATATGCAGAAAACAAAAAAATCACAAACCAATAGAAATATTACTCCTTATTGTACAGTACCAAACGTATGAACTTTGATGTTAATTTGGAACAAACAGAACTTAATGAAGCAAAAAAAGTAGAAATTAGGT